CCCCCCCCCCCAACCGGGAGCCTGCGGCCCAGGCCCATACAGAGTTCAGCCTCTTCAGGTCCATGTCGCTCTGGTCTGAGAAGTGGATGCTGATGGCCACGGTCTCAATCCAGGCGTTGTCCGTGTTCCTTGGGTCGTCCACGTACCCTCTGTATACCTGGGAGGCAGCGCAGGGGTGAGCCGGTCCGCCCCGGCTTCCTCCCCGAGGGAGGGGCCCCATGCACGTCCTGCGCTCTGTCCCGGCCCAGGGACACTGAGCACAGCCGTCCACTGCTCCCGGGGCCCCGCCGGGCTCTCTCCCTGCCCCGTGCCGCCTGCTCCCCAACACCACCTCCCGCGTGCCCGACCCACCGCGGGGTCCGCGCCTCCCTCAGCGCCCTCCTGGTCTCTGGTTTGGCATCCACACCCGCCTCGACTGTCCTCGGGAGGATAAAAAGGGATGGCGGACGTCACAAACATTGCACTAAGTGAAAGAAGCCAGACGCCAAAGCCCGCGTGCGTCCTGTGTGATTCCACTTACAGCCAGTGTCCTGAACAGGCCGGGACGCAGAACAGAACGCAGGTCAGTGGGTGCCAGGGAATGGTGGGGGGAAAGGCAATGACTGCTCATGGGGGATGGAATGTTCTGGAACAGGTGGGAGGTGATGGTGGCACAACATGGCCAATGCACTAAATGCCACTGACCTGTTCACTCTAAAATGGTTAATTTTATGTTATGTTTCACCTCCATAAATAAACTACTTAATTCTTTTCTACAAAGAGATGGTGCTATTCCCTGGGGCACTGCACAGGACAGCCCTTATGAAATGACCAGGTTCACGGGTCAACACCCTAAATATCAGCGATCGCCTGTTCCATCCTAAGATAGGAGAGACACAGGACCAGTACCAACTCTGGGTCCACCGAGAGGACGTTCAAGAAACCATGACACAAATCATTATGCGACCATGGAAAAGCGGAGGCAAATTTGTAAATATGAGCATTGCAAATTAAGTGAAAAAGCAAGTTACAGAGAAGCGTGTGCTGTGTGGCCCTGTTTGTATTAAGAGTGTATGGGTGTTCGAGCGCAGAGAGAAAACTGGCAACAGAGCCCGCGGCAGGCGTGTAAAGAAGTAAACAAAGTCTGGAGCGGGGCTCCTGTGGGTGAGTGTGAAGGGGCGTGTGTTACACCAAACGTGTAACGTACCGCTTTCGTAACTAAGAAAAGACGGTGGAGAATACAGGCCCCCCGCCCCCACCCCCGTCCAGGCCTTGGGGAGCCGGGCGCTGGCCCAATGCCCCCTCTGCCCTCGGAGACTCAGACACTGTGGTCCCATGCACCCATGTGCTCCAGGGCAAGAGTGTGTGTGGCGGAGGAGGCGGCCTGCCCCCCCTGACCTGGAGAGAAGAAGGTCAGGGAGGGAAGGCAGGTGCCCAGGGACCAGAGCCAGGGCCACGCCTCCTGGTCCCAGCTCCTTCCTGGGGCGGGAGCAGGGTCCCCAGTGTCCCATCCGGCTCACCCTGCAGCCCTCCCCACCAGCACACCGTGGGTGGCCGGGGCACACAGATGGGACTGCAGCAGAGGCCACCTTACCTCTGTGCCCTGCGTCAGCAAGTTCTGGAAGGAAGACCAGAACTCTCTACGGAGGACCTGCTTCAGCTTCCGGGGCAGTATCTCTCCTGGTTCCCGGGAGCCCTGGGCAGAGAGGAGGCAGGGGCAGGTCTGAAGGCTGTTCGGAGACCCACCTCCACTGGCCATCTGCCCAGAGTGGGCAGCAGGCCAGCCCCCTGGAGCCACAGGCAGATGAGTGTCTGGCCGCTTGGTTGTCTCAGGGCTGGAGTGACATTGTCCAGAGTGCACTGCCCACGTCAGCCTGTGCGGAGCAAGGGTGCGTCAGACCAGAGGCACGATGTTTGGGGAGTACGTGTGGGCGCCCATAAAGCAACACGCGCCCTGCCCTCCAGTGCCCTGGCCACCAGCAGAAGGGCACGTTTTAACGATTTTCTTGCATTCCCCTACATGCCGTCTCTCACCTCTGCTCCCCCAGGCTGAGCTCCCAGTCCCTCCCGACACCACCCACCCCAGGGACATGGGCCCTGCACCTGCACTGCCTGGCCTCCACCCCTCCGAGAGACCCTTTTTGTTATTAGCGTCTCTCGAAGTCCACATCACATCCATCTGCTTTGTCCCCTGAGACGCCTGTGCCCCCCAAAAGCTGCAGTGGTGGGGGGACCCATGCAGGGTTGGGGCTATAGGTGCACTGCTTGGAAGATGCCACCAGGGACTGGGCCAGTGTCCCACCCGGAGAGGCCAAAGTGCCCAAGAGGAAGGCTGAATCGTGCTAGAGACTCTCTCCCAGGGGGAGAGGGGCCGGCCCAATACCTGGTTCAGAGTGGTGCTCCTTCAGCTGGGGGGCACAGGGGATCGTGGCTGCAGGGCTGGAGCTGCCCAGAATCCTTGTTGCATCCTGGGGACCCAGTGGAACCACCACCCCACACATGCTCACCAACAGGCTGCCCCCAGGAGAGCGGCCACTGGGCCACGGTGGGTGCCGAGTTGGGGTAAATCACGACTTCCCAGAAGCAGGCTCAGAGGAGAGGCTCCCAAATGGGGCTGCAGCCCAGATGCTGTGCACCGACCCAGAGCCTGTCAGGGAACGTGGTCCTCTTGCCAGGACCCCCAGAACACGGGTGGGAGTCGGGGCAGGCAGACTGATCTGGGAGTAACACCTGGGGGGTCCAGCCCAGGGCCTTCTGCAGCCCAGTTATGTTGATCCCCACAAGGCCCCGGATGCATTCTGGCCTTCAGCCCTGCAACCAGCTGCCATTCCAGAGCTGAGGGGCCACATGCCCCCTCCTCCCAGCCCTGGCCCCTGTCCTGTCCTTAGGGCTCAGCTCAGGGTCGCACACCAAGAGGCAGGTGCCTGCCTGAGACACCTGCATGGGGAGTCATATTTGCCTCCAAGGCCATGAGCTCCTCGAGGACACGCAGCCTAGCCCCTGACGCAGCCGCAGTGCTGAGCCTGGTGCTCGGGACACAGTGCTCACCCCAGAGAGTATCTGAACCCGTTTTCACTACAGCAAAATGAGTAGACAGCAGGGAGAATCCCTCCTAAAAAGCCAAGTACTGGTTTGTCCTTCAGCACCAGGGACAGAGTCCAGAACTGCCCAGGGCGGGGACTGTAGGAGCAGGTGTTCCGTCGTTGGGTGGGATGGATGGAGGGACAGACGCTCTGGACAGACAGCTTGCACGGCTTACCCCTGGCAAGGCCCAGTGTTCCGAGAGGGAGTGCTTTACGACCAGCACTTCGAGCATTTTCTTTATGCTTTTCCTGCAGATGGCTCCATCCTGGTTCCGCCTCCACCTGTAAAAGGGGCAGCTCACAGGGACTCTGCGGTCAGCCCCCCCCCGCCCAGCTGAGGAGGACATGGGGCAGACGGGGGCAACCCTGTCTCCTTTCCCAACATGGCTCCAGGGGAAGAACCGACACGGGGACCATTAGGATGTCTTTCCTGCTTCCACACCACTGGAGGGACTGGAGTGGACAGGCCTTTGAGGAAAATATTTTTTTTATCACGAGCCTCAAAGAAGCACACAGCCTGGCCCCACCTGCTCCTCTCCTTACTCTGGAAATGCTGGGCGGGATTATGTGTATTTTTATCTTGTCTGTGGTCCTGGGCCCTGGCCATGGCTTTGCCTCCTCCCAGAGGCCCACTAACCGAGGGGGGCCCACAAGGAAGCAAGGGCAGCTTCCAGGGGTGGGGACAGGCCTGGGCTTTTCCTAGGGGACAAGGACACCCCCGCCCTGCATCTCGGGTGCACTTACACTTATCCAGGCCCCACCATGAGCCTGGCACCATGCGCCACGTGCGATCTGTCCCCTCAGCTCTGAGCACGTGGGGAGGGGCCCGTGGGTGCCTCAGTGGCACACTCACCGGGTGATCACAGGCTGCAGCGTGTGGTTGGGTCCAAAGCAACCGAGGCTTCCACGTCCACGCAGTCCTGTGCGGCCCATGGGGTTCCTGGGGAGGACGGATCTGCTTAGATTGCTGCCTGCATCCGGCGGGACCAGGTGGGGCCGTGGACGGGGGCCACTCACGGGGCAGTGTGCCAACTCTACCTGGACCCGCCCTGGCCCAGGGCTCTCAGACCCCAGGCCGCTCTTCTTGGCGGGAGGCAGGGAAGAAGCCAGTGTGTGGAGGCTGGGATAGGATCCCCTCCACCAGCCTGGCCGAATCTGCCTCCCCACCCAGGACTGTCCACCTAGGGACAAATCTTGTCCTTTAGGGACTCCAAGAGATGAGGCAGGAGATTCAGGTCACCTTGGAGTTGGTTGGAAAAGAAAGAGATCTCCTTGGGAGCAGAAGTCCAGCACAGGTGTTAATGTGGCCGTCCCGACCCCTAGAGACCGTGTGACCAGCCCATTGCGCCGCACGACACGCGTCTGCATCCCAAGGCCTCACACATGCAGGGGCAGGGCCTGTGGGTCCCTCTGTGACTCTCCAGCCTGCTCTCTCCCACGGCACCACCTGTGTCCGCCCCATCGCACCTCCTGCCACCTCGACTGGGACCAGGGACTCCGCGTTCACACCCCGCCGTCTCCCGCCACCTCCTTATACCACCTCTGGCTCCAGGCACAGACACCCACTCCTGTTCCAGGACATTCCCGAGAGGCCGCCCCACCTGCCCCCCCTCTCAAGCCACCTCTGGCCCCGTCTGTGGTCCCTCCCCTAATTCTCATGGTGCCTTCCTCTTCCTCCGGCCCCTGGTGCTGCACCCTGGGCAGAGGAGGTTCCTTTATCTCCAGAACCCCAGGCTGACACCCAGAGGTGCTCACCAAGTGACTGCTGGCTGTGACGCCACCGTCACCCAACATCTTGACATTGGATGTACTCAGTGTACAATGGGACACGGTGCCCGTCCCCACAGAGAACAGAAGTAGGAAACACCACCGTCCCCTGACGCCACCCCGCTGGCCCCTCAACTCCTCCCTCTCAGGGCAAGCCTGCTCTTTGTCAGAATCTGTGGAGATGGCGGGAAGTCACCAAGGGCACTCAGGGACGAGGGCCAAGCCCCAAGGCCAGCCGGGGTAAGTGCGCCTCCCCAGCTCCACGCCAGTGTCCTGGGAGACGCAGAGAGGGGTCTCATCGAGTAAGGCAGCGTTTTACATCAGCATCTCTTTTCTTCTGCATTTTGTTCACTTCTATCAGAAAGATGGCTAGTTTGCCAGGACAGGACGGCTGACCCCAGAAGCAAGCCCCACAAAGGCCCGGCTGACGCGGGATGGCGGGCAGCCGCACTCACAGAGGGAGCCCGTCCTGAACCACGTAGACCCCGTGGAAGCTCCGCCGGTCTATGGGTCCGTCCACGGCATTGTAGCTGATCCCGGACAGAGGCTCCAGGGCGCTGGGAAAAGCGGAGAGGCCATGTCCCCATAAGAGGGGGCAGTGACCAGGACTGTCAGAGAGCCCCGTGTCTCTGGCAGGTGCCCCCAGCCAGGTGCCTCCCCAGAATGTCCCAGCCCTTGGGGAGGACAGGGCACCCTGCCCAGGCAGGAGGCAGGCCCTCACCCTGAGCTCCTTCTGGCCGTCACCCCGGAGCGCCTGCTGGTCCCCCACCCTCCCTCCTGCCCAGGGCCAAGGATGTGCACACTCACTTTCCCACGGGGTCCACCAAGCCCCTGTCCTTCCTGTCGTCTGTGTAAAAGGGCGGGTCGTAGATGAGAAACGCCGTCTGCACAAAGATGCCGGTCCTGCCCTCAGACTGGCACCCGACCACGGCTAGAGCCCCCGCAGCCCTCAGACTGGCACCCCTGACCACGGCTAGGGCTCTGTGGCCAGGATGACCGACAGCAGCACCTCTTCCTCAAAGCGTTCACGCCATGGGCCCCGAGACAGACCCCAAAGTGCACAGGGTAGCTCTGAGCTCAGGCAGGCTGAGCGTACCACCCCCAGGGACCCAGCCGAGGGGGCTGGCGACGGCACTGGTGGTCCAGGGGAGCCCCCAGGATGGGGCAGGGGTCTAGGCTGGACTCCAGAGGGACTCCAGCTGGCAGAGACTGGGGAGAAGGAATGGAGGCAACAGCCTGGAATGTTCTAGAAAGGCCAGAGGGAAAGCCCGTGGGGGCGGGGAGGGCACACAGATGCTGCTGCCCTTCCTCTTCCTCCCTCCTCGATGCTATCCCTCACCTGCACTCACGAAAGGGGCAGCGACCAGTCCCTGGGGATGCTGGGGTCTGGGATGAGTGAGGCCACTGGAGGTAACGGGGCAGTCAGCTCCCTGTAGGGTCAGCAGCCCACTGGGCGCCCAGCTCCACCACCTCTAGCTGTGTGGTCCTAGTGACTCAGTTTCCCTCTCTGCCCAGCACGTCCCTGTGAGGCCGCACAGGCTTGTCCACCTGGCGCCTGGCCGTGTCCAGAACACGGGGCACCTCTGGCCCAGTGGGAGAGCACCAGGACCCGCACTCACCTCCCAGGGCACCTTCTCGTTGGGCACGGGGAAACGGGTGACGTGGGAGTTGGGGTACAGGAGGTGCCGGGCGTTCACGTGGTGGGTGTCGCCCACGTCCTCCTCCTCCTGTCTGCCGTCCGGCTCGAGGTCCTGCCCCTCTGAGGCCTTCTGGGGTGCTGGGAACAGCCACAGGGAGCCGTGGGCAAAGCCGGGCCCCGGCTCAGGCACCTGGCCCACAGGACAGGGGCGTCCTCGATGGTCCTTTCCCCAGAACTGGGCCACCTCCGCCTCCCCAAGACCAGACTGAACGCCACCAGCCCCGAAGGGGGGCTCCCCACTACGGCCCTGGGGGGACAGAGATCTGGGGTCGGGCAGTGTCCCCCCAGCCAGCACCTGCCTCCTTGTGTGGTTGCCCCAGAGCTCTCGGTAATTAGCTGGACTCACGGCCCTTACAGAAGCCCATCCGGCTAGGGAGGGCACGTGTGCCCCCTCCGGGGTCAGCACCGCCCCAGGAGGGCCAGTCTTGCCCATTTCTTGGCTGGCTGTAAACTTAGAAATATGGACTTTGGGGGGACACCTGGGTAGCTCAGTCGGCTGAGTGTCTGACTTTGGCTCAGGTCACGATCTCACAGTTCGTGGGATCAAGCCCCATGTTAGGCTCTGTGCTGACAGTGTGGAACCTGCTTGGGATTCTC